GGTTCCCCAGGACCTCGATCTTGATCCCCGTCCTTGCCAGTGAGCGTGCGGAGAGCTCCTACACTACAGTTTCTGCTCCTGAGCTCAGTCTTGGAATGGGAGGACAGTCCCTTTGGCAGAGGGGAGGTGACACTACAGCTAGAGCTGGTGGTCACTGCCCCAGGCGGGCGGCTCGTTCTTGCGGTTTCCCAGCAGAGGTGAGGGTCGGGCCTGGGCTAAGCAGTGGCGGGGAAGGGGAGCTGGGGGAAGGAGTCCTGAGTACGAAGTTAGCCATCCCTAAAGCTACGTCTTACCCACTCGAACCTGGGGGACTTGGCCTTGAATGAGAGAAAAGCCACTAAACGCTTGCTTGTTGCTTCCTGCATTGCCCAGCTGCTGGGTGTGCAGTATGAGTCTCTCGGCCAGCAGGCTGTGCCTCGTCCTTCCGGTAAAGCCACCTGAAGGACAGCGCAATTGATGCGCATGAGACAGCCCAGCGCGTCTCCTGCCTCTTAGATCTCAGCAACAAATACCCCAGCGCAGCGATCCCCTTCCCGCTGAAAGACAGCGCTCAAACCAGATGCATCTCTACCAACAGACAGCGGCTTTGTTTGCAGGTGAGCATCGTGCGGTGTCGAAGGGCTCACAGATGGGGAGAAAACGTCAAAGAGAACAAAAGGCCTTTCCCAAGATGACATACAAGGAAGAGGTGAGACCGAAACCAGGGCAGGTCTTTCTCCTCCCTCCCTTTTTGGAGTGTTTGTTTTGTTAAGAGATTGGAAAGCTCAGAGGGGCCAACAACTGACTGCAAAGCTCTAGTTCATTAATATTTTGTTATGAAAGGCAGACAGGCCTTTCTGCAGTATGAGAGCAGATGTGGCCTCATTTAAGGGATGCTCTATTAATAAACCACTTGTTTCCAGGCTACCAGAGCTTTGTTCTACCTATTAGCAAAAGCACATTGGCACATCTCCTGTACCAACAGGATTGTTGTTCGTGTTTGTCATGTCTCCAAGTACAAAGCATTCAAATTCTGCAGAGCAGTTTCCTCTCCAAAAACTGCAAAACTCAGCAAGGTGTGAAAGTATCCCTTGCTATCACGCTGTAACACAGAAGGCAAACTTGCTAAGTGCTAAACATGCACATGGTGTGAGGAAGCATCAGCATTCACTGCCATACTGTCACAAGGGAGGACCGTACAGAAGATGGTCACGGTGATGAGTGTACCCAGGTAAAGTTTATCTCGGTGTGGTGGCAAAGGGGCAAGTCAGATAAGCAGAGCATTGCTAAAAGCCAGAACAAGGTTCTTCCGATTTTAAGCTTGCACAGTTCTGAAATACGAACCCATTTCATTGTGCCTACAGTACCAGAGAGAAACATCTGATCTACCACAGCTAAACCGTATGTGGGATGAGGGTATGAGGACTTCCTTATCAGTGGAAAAGCAGCTCAAGACTTTAAAACCAGTATTTCCCCTTCCTGCTGCCTTTGTGCAAAAGCAGGCTTTGACTGTACTACTGTTTTGGGTTTGCAGGGCAAGGTCTGGGTAACAGCAGGCTACGGGGGGAGTTCTGTGAGAAGCTGCCAGGAGCGATGCCAGCCAGCTCCGAGAGGGACCCACCGCTGGCCGAGGCTGAGCCCATCAGTGACGGTGATAGTGCCTCTGGGATAATGTATTTAAGAAGGAGCGGAGTGGGGCGGAAACTGTAGCTGGAGAGAGGAGTGAGAATATGTGAGAGGAACAGCTCCGCAGAGGCTGAGGTCAGTGAAAACTGAGGAGGAGGTGCTCTAGGCAGCAGAGCAGAGATTCCCTTGCAGCCTGCGGTGAAGACCATGGTGGGGCAGATATCCAGTGGAGCAGATCTCCACCTGCAGCCCAGGGAGGACCCCACGCCAGAGCAGGGGGCTGCACGAAGGAGGCTGTGACCCCGTGGAGAGCCCGCGCTGGAGCAGGCTCCTGGCAGCCCCCCACGCTGGCGCAATTCCTGAAGAACTGCAGGCCATGGGAA